ATGGATAGTGTTATGAATGATGAAATTTTGAAAAAGTATTGTGTTCACATAATATGCTTTCTTTTAATTTAAGATTATTTATTTGATTTTCTTTACTTTACTATTATTGATTGAGCGTTGCTCACCCCCTATGCTGCATGTATGTATCTAGGTAATCAACATGGAGGTTAACCTTAGAGTCTATTTCAGGAGTTATTTTTGTGAAGCTGTTTGGTCGAGTCTCCAAGATGGAGCTTTTGGTTTTGACTCACATTATGTTGTTACTTTTGTTTTGATTTTGCTAAATGGTCTTGGGATATATAAACCATATGTATGGAGTGTATTGTACATAAGTGTTTGCATGGACATGTAAATGGGTGTGTGATGTGCTGTGATATAAGCATTATATATTTTAATCATATTGGCATAGCTCAATGAACTTCTTTATTTGTGATATACTTCCGCTTATGGCCCCATTATTATCATTATTTAGTATTTTTGTATGAGGCCGTAGGTAATCAAGTGATTGCTGGCCGGTTATAATCTAAGCCTCTAGGGGTGGGTTTGGGTCGTGACAATATAATTCAAAAGTAATAACTGTAAATGTAATTAAAATGCCTTTAGGATTACATCATATAAAAGTTACACCCTTACAAAAATGGCACTTGGCGGCCTACGAAAAAAAAACAAAAACAAAAACAAAAACAAAAAAAAAGGCCCAAGGTGTACAAGTCAAAAGGGCTCTCTCTCAACTCATGCACATATCTTATGCCCCGCCAAGGCACGCCATCGATACTTGAAAAAGATTTTAGCCACGTAGGTTGAACATATAGTCTATTAAGGTAACATTTCACAAGATAATATGTTTTTATACATGTACATAATCATGATGCTGTGTATGTATATTATGCTCAAAACATTTTCTCATTTCACAAAAAAGGTTTATATCAATCTCCATGACCAAAACCAAACGTTCTTATTAAGTTAACATTTCTTAATTTCATTATTATTGACCTAGTGAATTCTCTCAAGTACGTGTATCTACTAGTAGTCATCACTAAGCACCACCTAATCTAGTGAGTTATCTAAAGCAACACTCAACTAGTGATCATCGCTGAATGTCACCTAAATAGTACCAAATTTACTAGCTTTCAACCAGAAGGATCTTGGTACCTACACCATGTGGGTTTTCGGTATTTCACCATAGACTATCAAGCTAAATTATCTCATCCTCAACTATACATAACCCGAATTCACCATCACTTTCGATTAAAACCGTAACGTTTTAATGAAATCAAAGCAACACATGCAATTGTTCAATCTCATAAAATGTGCTTCACGCACCTCCATTCAACAGTGGGTTCTTATTTCCATGAATTCAACGATACAATAATATAATGAATAGGGTTTTCGCCATCCTATTGTATCAATGTTCACAACAATACCATTATCCACCAATGGCTAAAACAATTATCTCTAGCAATACTATAGTTTTGCAATTATATTCATGTATCTTCTATTTCAGTAAAACTTCATTATTCTCCTTACTAGTATCATCAATTTCAACACAACACAATTAATTTCTTATTTTGCGCAATATCACAAATTAGGACTTTTCACAAAATTGGAGCTTTTTCATTTCTAGATACCCTCATGAAATTTTATACAAATAAAATAGGTTTGATAGTAAAAATATAGAAAAAAAACCCAACCAACTCATAAACCCTAACCTCTTATCATGCATTTCCAAAAATTCTACCAATAATCTCAAAATTTCTCTATCAAAATACCACATATACATCTCTAAACCCATATTAAACCAATAAAAGGAAACACTACCTCTTGTAGAGAAGAAGGTAAGGGAAAAAAATATGAAAGTTGGTGAAACAAAGATTGGCCTAAACCAAGTCGAAGCCCTCGCCGTGCTCTACGACTTTAATACTCAAACTTTTGAAAGATTTCACTCTAGATCACTTAATCTAAGGTTTAAATGTATGTAGTTATGGGGGGAGAGAGAGAAAGAGAGAAATGAAGTGAAAAGAGAGACAAAGTTGTTTGCAGAGATAAGAAAAAAGGCTAAAAAATACTAGGCTGCCACATCACTGCAAGAAAAAACAATTTTGGTGACCACCTTTTTTAAGCTGGTCGCAGATAGTTTACTTTCTGTGACCAACATTTTTTTGGGTCGCAGATGAGTTGTGTTTTCACGACCAACGAATTTTTGGTGGCTAATAGATAAATTTTTGCGACCAAATATAAAATATGGTCACGAAAAGTAATGGCGAGAGAGCCAAAAAAAAAAAGAAAAGAAAAAAAGGAAAGTCAAAACCTTTGGTGACCAGTAAATTATGGTCACATAAAGAAAAATAGCATATTTTTATCAAAACTACGTAGCTTTGAATGTTTCCTAAATCAAAAATGAATTCCTAAATTGATTTTTTTATTTATTAGAAAATTCCAAAATCGATTGAGCTTCCTTTTCATCGTTGCTCTCTTTCAACTCCCAATAGTTAGATTGGTTTCTTAGCTGCATCTCCTCACTCTCTACACTCCCAATCGGTAACGAAACCCTAGTCACCATCTCCATTCACTTCGTTCCTTGTTTTGCTGTCTCTTTATCTTCGGCTCTGCCATTTCTACTTACTAGGTTAGTCTTTCTTCCTTAATTTGGTCTGTTAATACCTCATTTTTACTTTACAATTTGTTGATTTCTTCTAGATTCTCTTCACATTATTCTCAATCAACTTTGATTTTTGGTCTCGTTTTCTTATAAACAAATTGATTATCAAAATCTCGACCTCGACGTGGTTCTTTTTGGTATTGATTTGGTTTCTACAAGATTGGAAGCTGCAAAAATTGAAAGAAAAAATTGTGCTTTTTTTTTTTTTGGAGCATGTGATAATAATATTATTGGATTTGAAAATCCCCCCCCCCTTTTTGGTTTTCTAACTTTGTTTGTTATTTGTGGAGGGAAAAAGAAACGACATAAGAGCTAATCTTTTTTTTCTCCTTTTGTTTTTATTTTTCTCTCTATAAATTTAAGATCCAAACACAGTATCACTTGTTTTTTTATGTTTTTTATTTATTTATTATGATATATGTGGTTTAGGAGAGTAAACTGTGCTTCAAAAATTTGAAGATAGGTGCACTCTTCTGGTGTTTGAAATGTAGGGATTTAAAAAAGCGTTCTCTGTAGAAATTGAAGAACTACCGAGCATTTTGTTGCATTGTTTGTAAGAAATTTATGATATATATAGTTTATGATTTGAGCCTTAAAGTTCCTAGACCGGAGGCCTTGTTAAAGGGGTGAGTAAAATATGTAATATTGAGCAATGTAGGATGACAGGTAATCTAGTTAAGATATGAAATGAATTACATATATGGATTTTTTTTTCTTTCTTTGTTTAGTTAGTACAGTATATAACATCAGATCAGATGAAAGAGAAAAAAGAGACTAACACAGTGAAAGAGGAGTTGAATTTGATGTTATATGTGAACTATTTAAGACATTTTCCATAAATTGGCCAAATCTTTGTCTGTTTTTTCCACATGTCATTTCCTCTTCCAATAATATTTGTTAATGGATCTGTTTGAACCACTCCCATGTTAAGATTCATTTATTCACCTCTTCTAGATGCTACTGTTGCACAAATTTGAATAGAATTTAATTCCCTTTTTTTATCATTATAAATTTCTGGAATTTAGGGAATTAAAAAAGGTTGCTAAAAACTAAATTGATTGGATCAAAACTCACTTTATTGTGTTTGCCTTTATGCATGTCTCTACTTTGTGTGATGGTCTTATTTTTAGAGGGCCATTTACAAGATAAGAACCCCTACTTTGTTACTTGAATTCAAATGAGGCCATGATAAACTGTTTAAATTTAAATGAGATATAATCATACCCTTCATTTTCAATTCAAATTTGGCCGATCCACTTAATTTTCTCAATTTTTTCCAATGTGCCATTTTTATTGTATTCTTTGCTTGTGTGATCCTTTGAACGCGTCTATTGTTTCTTAAACCTTTCAAACTCCAAGCAATAATTATTTAGTTGGCTCTAACTTTGGCTCCTTTAATTATTTTGTAGTTGAAATTTATGTGCCATTGTATCTGTTAGTCATAGCATGAATAACATGTATTTTGATGATGTTTAATTTAATGTTTGATTCATCTTAGAATGATTATTTCAGTAAATCATTATTGAAAACATGCTAATTGATTTACCCATGTATTTTCTATCCCTCATTTTAATTAGGTTGTTTAAAGATCAAAATGGAGTTCAAAATATAATGATTCTTGATAATTGTCATTCTTTGTTCAGATTTATGTTTTGATTGTTTAAAAGAGTTAAATGGTTTGAAATCTTATAATTAATTCAACATCATAATTCATCCTCATTTTGTCTTATTTGTGTTTATTAGAGGCCCAAATTGCAACTCAAACAAGCAAGAACTAAAGCAACAGAACACAACAGAAACAGCAGCCGAACAAAGGAGGCTGAAAATACACTGTGTGGTCGACCGGGCGATTGACCGGCCAGGCCAAAGTTTGTCCATTTTGTCTCTAGCTACAAGGGACGTTCAGGTGGACAAGCCAGGAAGGAATTTCAACCCAGTTTAGTTTTGCTTCGCTCCGGACGTCAGACAGGCAATACGCTCGATGACTGCAGACAATAACCATGACGACCGGACACAGCCGAACATCCAGAAAGACATCCGAGTGGACGTCCCACAGACACAAAGCTTAGCTTTGGACATCCGTGACGTCCCACTGTGAAAGCTGAGCATATCAGTAACAGAGCAGTAAACTGAAAAGAAATGTTTTCTTCATCATTCAATGGGCAAAACACATGTGGATTTTAGGGAATATCTGAACAATGTTTATTATCCCAACCAATCACCATCCCATCTCCTCAATGGGAAGAAGAAGATGGGCTCTGCCAGTTTGAATAGAGCACTCAGCTCTGTTTTATAATAAAGCTCTGAAATGCAAAATATACACACACAGAGAGAAAGAGAGAGAGACACACACACAGAGCAACAAAGCAATGTGCTTAACATTTTTCCATCCTTCATCAATCACATTCTCTCAACACTGAGTATTTCAAGCATCACTTCATTTGAGTTCTTTTTTTTTTCTCTTCAGAATCAGTAATTGAGCCTTATAGCTTTAACCCCATTTACCTATGTGAGGTTTTACTAATAAACATTCCGAGGTTCATATTGTATATCTATCTGTGAGGAGCTATTCTTTGTCGCTTTCTTTGAAAGCAAAAACACTTATTATAAATCTCGTAAGAGGTCACTAGCTCTCCTGTAAAGCTAGGACATCTATGGAGGATTGCTCCATGTGTATGAGGTTACTAGTACCCTTGTGAAGCTAGAAAATCTATAGAGGATTGTTCCATGTACATGAGGTTGTTACCACTCCTGTGAAGCTAGAGGCATAGTGGAAAATTTCAAGTGAAGCTTGACGAGTGGACGTAGGTTTGGTTAAAGTCGAACCACTATAAATCTTGTTTGCATTCTCTTTCATAATCTCTTTACTCTATTGCTCTAGCGAACTGATATATTTGCTTGCATTCACCGTGTTAGCTATAATTCTTTGCTAAATTTATCTAGAACATATTTTGTTATTTACTTTTGTTAAGTTCATCATATGCTATATTTGTTGTACTAGTTGATTTAATTTTTATTTGGGAATTGTTAGTTTTAATTTGAAGAAACCTAATTCACCCCCTCCCTTTAGATTGCTTTTTGGATAACAATTGGTATCAAAGCATAGACTATTGCTTAGATTTAACTATCTTAGAATTTTCGTTCCATGGCAACCATAGCTAATACTAGCATTGTTGAAGATCAAGCCACAAATAGGCCACCCTTGTTTGATGGTAGTAATTATAATCAATGGAAAGAAAAAATGACTTTGTTTCTTCAAGCTACTAATTATGCTATGGCTCATTATCACAAGAGGTACTAAAATCCCTACCAAGGTAGTAGACAACATTAGAGTGCCTAAATCTGAAGAAGAATTTGATAAGCATGACTATAAACTCCGACAAGCTAATGATAAGGCCAAACTTATCCTTGTACGTGGATTAGATGCAAATGAGTACAATAGTTTCTGGTTGTGGTACAACAAAAAAGATTTGGGATAAACTTGAAATTAGTTATAAAGGAACTAGTCAAGTAAAAGAGTCACATATTGATATGCTTATTCATGAATATGAGCTCTTTAATATGGAATCCCATGAATCTATTTCTGAAATGTTTTCTAGATGCATTACTAATGATCTAAAATCTCTTGGTAAATATTATACTAATGGTGAGCTTGTGAGAAAAATTCTTAGGTCCTTGCCAAAGAAATGGGAAGCTAAGATTACTGCTATTCAAGAAGCAAAGGACCTAACAAGATTGAGCATTGAAGGATTCATAGGCTCGCTCATAGCTCATGAACTTACAATAATGAATGGAAGCAAAAAGAAAAAGAAATCCATTTTTGGGAAGAAGATGATGAAAGTTGCTCTGGTGATGAAGGCAACAACAAGGAAGCATCTCATCTATGCTTAATGGCAAAAGAAGATGATGAGGTAACCTTTAACTATGAAGAACTTGAAAGTGAATTCAATGAATTACATGATGAATTTTAGAAATATTTGTGTTAAAAATTCTATGTTAAAGAAATTAGTTACTTCTCTTTCAAATGATGTGGATGTATTGAAAATAGAAAATTCTACTTTGAAAAATGACTTTACATCTATCAATAATGAGAAAAATGTTTTGAAAAACAAAGTCAAGGATTTGAACAAAACTCTGAAAATTTTTGTAAAAGGAAAAGAAAACCTCAACAAGCTTCTTGGAAATCAAAAATGTGTTTTTGATAAAGTAGACATTGGATTTAATCTTATCACCATTTTTGAAAAAGGTTCTCCTAAGGTTTTTATGAGATTAACTGTTCTTGAGACTAATCCCCATGGACCCAATTTTTTAGATGAAACCTTAAAGAACACAAATGACTTGGAGAAAAGATGCACAACAAGAGTGTTCAATTTTAAGAACAAAACCAGTCCATACAAGAAGACAAATGATGAAATGAGAATCACCGAGATGAACATGAGACGTAATATATGGGTGAAGATTCCAAAGATGTAAATGAATGTATAAACTTCTAACACACCTTTAAGCTTAAAAGTTCTATATTCTTTAACGTGTGATATATGTACAATAGGTTGAGATTAATCATTACATTTATGAAACCTAAGTGTGCTAAGTTTGATTAGTCATGTTATGCTTTACCATAAAAACCATCATTGAACTCAAATTTGAGATTTATATTATCATGATGAATGTCTATTACAGTATGAATGATTTATGTATTAATTGACTATGCTATATCTTGTCATCCATTGCTATGAAAAAGGGATAAGAAGTGATAAAATAATTTTTCACTTGTAAGCATATTCTCATACTGTTCACCTCACATATATGACTACATACATATTTGATAACCATTTTTGAGTCATATCTCTACAGAATCAATTTTGATGATATAACATGTTTTGAGATTGTATACTAACTATTTTGTGAAAACTTGTGTTTAATACATACATGTACACTTGTGATCTAAAAAAATATGTTCAAAATGAAACATTCATGCTTATATGCTTCACGTTGGAATGTTTGATTAAGTTATGAAATATTTGATTAGATTTCTTGATTAATGGAAAATCATATGTTTATTGAATATCATTTGAATATGGACTAGTTTGGCATATATCTCATGAAATGCTATTGAGTGATGATTATGAAAATTAACTTGTTTATAGCATTCATGTTGTGTTCCACATTGAGTAAAATGTTATATCAAACTTAAGTATGTGGATTGAACATATTTGATGAAAATGCCTCATGACAATGTTCTATGATTAACTGAGTATGATGCATCACTTCTTGATAGAACAAAAAACATAAAACTTTTTTTCTCATGTATAATATGTTATGTGTTACAATTTGAAAATTTTGAAAATTAGCATTCTAAGCTCTTGATTGAACATGGCACCTATTGAATTGTCTCTTATCTTTTGAGTTTGTGATGAGAGCTGATATAGAACAACTTTTATTGTGTCCTGCATTTTCACGAGTAAATGTGATTGTTGTATAATTGGTTATATCTGCAGTAGATCACAATAAAAAAGATAAAGCACCAATTTATGGGGAGAAATCATTTTTGCTAAACGTACTTGTTAAACTCCTTTGAGATGAACTTCTCATGAAAGGAAATTGAATATTGAAAATTTTCCAACTCTTGAACCAAAGGTATGCCTCTTACACAATGTGGGCTCGCCTTTTTCCTCACCCCGCCTTTCGGGAAGGTTTGAAAAGAAGGCCTCACAGTTCAGACTCCTGTGGTTCTGAATCTAGCCTCACAAGTGCAATGTGAAACTGATAATCACCAAAGAGTCCAAATTCGGAAAATCTTTTTTGGAAAATCGATTTTAAATCAAATAATGCCAAAATTAGACTACTTTGCCAGATACAGAGTCGCCACCTAAATATTTTATTTTTGAGGAAATTTAGGAAACCCTGACTCGTGTCAAAGGCCACGTGTCCGTCATCACCAAAGTTGCCTCGGCTCGGGAACTTAGGTATGAGAGGGGAAGGTCATGGATTGAGCACCCCCGCTCGCCCGATCAAAGATCGGCCTCTACTAATCATGATATGATATTTTATAAACTTTATGCGTTCTTGTTCCGATTATTAAACTAGCTTTACTATGTGATGTACAAGTATACAAGTATAGACTAGCCGCAAGACTTGGAACAATTTAACTCGTGTTTGTTTGCGAAAATGGTTTGAATTTTCCAACTTCAGGTGGGCTTAAAGATGCGGATTTGCCACCAAACATAGTGGGCTTAAAACAAGATTTTGCCACAACAAAATGGGCTTTAAAACGCGCATTTGTTGAATCGTTTCAATTCAAACAACAAGCCTTCATCCACAGGCATTCATGCAGTTTATCATTTAAACACAGCCTCATGGCAAGCATGCGAAACATGGCAATATGGCAATCACACTCGTGCAAGTATGCTAAAGCGCAAAAACTTACCGAGTACTCCAAGCAAAAACAGAAACTAGTTAGAATGATGCATGATCCTAACTATGTAAGATAACTAATACAACACATGCGATATATGGCATATGAATCAATTTGAACAACATGCGATAAACACGTATTCAAAGAAGATATTGAAATGAATGCAAACATGCAAGCAGAAGGTATGCTAATTGAAAATGTCCCTAATCTAACCATCGAAAGCGATTAAATAAAAGGGAGAAAGACGTGGGGTTGGAAGACATACACACACGCACGCACACTTATTACAACATTACGCCCTCACGAAGGAGGGCTCGAATGAATAAGCTAAGCTAACTAATTATTACAACAATTGAAGCGAATTAACTAACTTGTTCTAAGCTAATTAAGTATTACAAATCGAAGTAATTAGCTAAATACTAAGCTAATTATGTACAAAGCAATTAAACTAATTAGCTACCACTAATTAATTAAACAAAGCAATAAAAAGCCCTCGGGAAGCGAGGGATGTATGCATGCTCAGTTTCTTCACCCGAAAAGCCACTGCCTTGCCATTGAACAGCTCTGTTTGCACTTATTTGAACGCCAACAGTGTTGCCATCTCCCAGAACACCTCTGCTCCCCTCGGGAACACACCATGCAAAATTTTCATTGATGGCCGGTCGGTTACCAATGGTGGCCATCGACTACCATTGGTGGTCGGTCGGCTATCCCTGCTTTGAACTTTCTTTTGCTGCAACAGAGAGAAAACAGAGGCAAAGTAGTGTATTCTCAAGGAGTGTTTGTACTGTTATGCTCCTTATCATCACACAAGTTCAAAGGAGTGTAATTCTCGGCTCTCAAACCATCAACCCAAGCATTTTCCATGCATGATGGCTAAGAAACCAAGCTTGTACAAGCTTAATGAGTGCAAAACAAGACTCAAAGGACCACCACCCTATCATGCATGATCAAAGGTGATGATGACCAAGGAAAGTGGCACATTTTCTCACTTTGAGTATGAAATGTGCCACTTTCCTTGTGTTCGAATTAATGTCCGATTCGAACACATGCAATGCAACACGAAAGATGCTTAATCTTGTCTTTTTTACTTGCCATTTTTTTGTTTACTCATTTTACATTACCAATCCATTCTTTAATTGGTTAAGTCCAAAAGTGAGTGTCCTCTAATGAAAAGAGGGCTTAAACCACAAGGTACTTTATTTTCTCACTTTGAGTATAAAATGTCCCACTTTCCTTGTGTTCGAATTAATGTCTAATTCGAACACATGCAATGCAACACGAAAGATGCTTAATCTTGTCTTTTTTACTTGCCATTTTTTTGTTTACTCATTTTACATTACCAATCCATTCTTTAATTGGTTAAGTCCAAAAGTGAGTGTCCTCTAATGAAAAGAGGGCTTAAACCACAAGGTACTTTGGGCATGAAAGAGACCTCATGCCATTGGTAATGAACCCCCAAAGGGATTAAACCATTAAGCATGAATGTCCTAATTTCACACTTAAGCAAACAAGGGGTTTAAAACCACTTTCAAAGAAAATAAAAGAGTGAAGAATTGAGGGAGGTTACAGAGATGTTAAATGCTGGAATTAGGCATGAAAAAGCATTAAAGCATGCAACCAAGACACACAAATTATTCACAAAGCCTAGAACACTAAGCTAGTGAAGGAAATTGCACCACAACTATACAAAGCTCAAATGACCCAAACAGCCCAAAACAAAGCTAAAGTAGATCAAAATAGAGGAAAAAACATGATGGACTAAAACTAAGTTAGGCTAGAAAAACATGCTAACATACAAGGCTAACTAGGCATGCAAACAAGGCACAAGGAGGGAAGGCTAACCTCTCCAATTTTGAACTTCAAAAGAAGGTTTTTTTCACTGAAAAAACCTTTGAATTTTAGTGGTCAAAAGGCCCAAAAAGTTTGATTTGAATGTGATGAAAAGTAGCACAAAAAGCTTAACAAGCTAAGGAGCCAAAAGCGTGGACAACCCCCTAACTCACAAAGGCTCAAACCACAATTTTTATGCCTCAAAAACAGAGTTTTTTACACTTCAAAAACAGCCTTAAAATAGTAAGAAAGGGTGGCAAAACTAGTATTGAAAACAAGTATAAGCAAGGTAAGTTCTAGACCTTTGAAACAAAGCACAATTTCAGCCACAAATTCAAGCTCAAACTCCTTTCCAAGGCTCAAACAAGACTCCAAGGGACCTTGGCTCCCAGGTGAGAGTGATTGGTTAAGGGTTGATGTGCAAAAGTCTAGAGAAAACTAACTACAAAGCACAAAATATCAAGTGAGAGAGAGAAAGTTCAGAGAGAGAGAGAGAATTTTTGGTCCAAAAATGTCTAACCCCTCAAAATGGGGGTGGCACCCCCCTATAAATAGAAAAACAAGGTTTGAGCTTGTATAAATCCTACCATACACGTGTATAAAGATGCAGCTCAGTGAGCAACAGCTGGCATAGCTGGCATAGCTGGCAAACAAATATCTGAAAAAAAGGATCAATGGCCGTCAGCCACCACTGGTAGCCGACAGGCACAAGCCATGGCCGACAGATCCCAGGGCTGGCCGATAGATCACCCTCTCTTCCAAGCAAAAGGCAACAAGCTCTTGGCCCAAAAACAAGCACAAAACAGACAAAGTTTAGAGGCTCAAAGACAAGGCATTCTGCCGAGGACATCGGGCGCTGAAAATGAACACAAACAAGAACACTCATCGAGTGCACAAACGATGACGTCCAAGTCTTGAGGACGGTCAAAAATTGGGTGTCTACAGTTGCCCCTCTTTGATAGAAATCGGAAGTCATAAAATGATGTGAGTGAATGTCAAAGCCCAGAGACGACCCATTTTTGACAAGGCCGAAGACTTAGACAAACAAACAAAACAAAGAACAAAGAACGGTTGCGCCCGCAGGCTGCCTACGTATCCCTTTGTAAGGAATCAAACTAGCGTAGTTCTGGGGAAAAATGCAAGTGATATGCACAATGCGAGAATATAACTTATGATCATGCAATGAGGCTGTAATGAAACATCTAGATGCAAATTTTATTCAAAGAAATGCCACATTTAAGCCGAAACACGGTACAACAAACTCAAACATAAGCAAGTAAACATGAACCAAACCACATTTCATGCAGAAAGGATGTAAGAAAATTATGCAAACTTAACTACGCATCACGCAGGAAAGGCAAAGAAAAACACAACCATCGGGCGCACCCGAGGTGTCAAACAAAGTCCTAACGCGTTGAACGTAGAAGGAGAGAAAGGTTGGTATGAACACTGGGACATACCCGATTGTTCTGAACCAAAGGGAAAGGTAATAAACATCGGAACGCGTCCAAATGCTTCTAATCAAAATAGGGAGTGGTATAAACATCGGAACACGTCCAAATGCTTCCAACCAGAACAATGGGGTAGTATAAGCATCAGAACACGTCCAAATGCTTCTAACCAAAGCAAGGGGGTGGTATACACTTCAGAACACATCCAAATGCTTCTAACCAGAACAAGGGTAAATCGAAGGACAGGAATGATCTCACCTGGAATTCCTCTAAATGAACCGTACATACAGTATCGTACCTGCATAAGAAAGAGACTTAACAAGCATAACATAGTAAGAGTGCATGTTCTATGCGAGACAAATAATCATGCAATGTTAAAGACATGTTTTATGCAAAACATGCGAGAAACAAAACAGAAGCATATTCTATGCGGCGTGAGCCAGAGCATGTTCTATGCCACATTAGGATGCATATTCTATGCAATAGTATAAGATGCATGTTCTGTGCCCAGTTAATAGTAGAAAATGCATGTTCTATGCAAGATTAACAGCATGTTCTATGCGAAACACCAAATGCATACTCTATGCGAGTGGGAAACAGAAGCATGCTCTATGCAAATGCGAGAAGCACACATTCTATGCAAGATCTAATGTGAAAGGCACGTTCCGTGCAACGACAAAGAGACACACATTCTATGCAAGAACAAAAGCACATTTGATAAAACTGTCTCAGTCGCAACTTCCGATTTACCTCTTGGAAGAGTTGCAAGATGTTTTAACAAGGATACACCTCATTGATGTTGATTAGTGATGAATCGTGCACCGAAGATACGGTTCAGAGCTTCTGCAGAGACAATTTGAGCTTAAAGTGTTTGCACTTTCTCAAGAACCAAAGGCACAAAACAGCAGCAAAACCCAATATAGGAGCACTGGAAGCTTGTCGGCCACCAGGGGGAGGTGTTGGCCACCTATCAGTCACACCTGAAAGTTAGCAGCCACTGATGGCAATTTCGCGCCATTTTGGTCTTTTTACATCGGGTCTTTAAGTATAGGCACCCAAACTTCATTTCCTCACTTTCCCCTTGCCAGAATTCCTTGCTTTCTCACCCTAGACACTTTTCCACTTCTAGATCCGAGCTTTATACGCGTTTTCCAATGCCCCACGCGAAGTTGATTCGCTAAAACCTCTTGATTTTCTTCGTTTTGAACCGATTGGAATTTGTTTCCAGTGTTTTTTTCTTCATTTCCACCACTTGAGGCTTGTTCCCCTCGAGTTTCTCTTGGGTTCTCTGCCTTTTCCCAGGCTTCGACTTTTTCTCCCATTTTCTCTCTTAGGGTTGACTTTTGTTGACTTTTGGCATTCTCCACCCATTTTCCTCATTTTCGCACACTTTCTCACTTCCTTTCCATATGGCAGATGACATTCTCCATGATGGAGCTTCTCCAGGGATAGAGGCAGATCCCGAGCACGTACCATTACCACCCAGGGTTTGTCCCTTTGACCCAGAGACATACCACCCTGAGGCGCATGTGCTACCGCCCGATACTATTCGTCATTTCAGAGGTTTCGCACGAGGCGTGCCAGAGGATCTCTTGCTGCGTGAGCCGATGTCTCATTTATCCTACGGCGCCACTGATGTATACATTGCCTTCTTATATTTTCCGTAATGTACCTTGCATTTCTTGCATAGATCACGCTTACGCTGTCTTTCATCTATTTATCTCAAAACACATTCTTGCACTGTATTTCTTACACTGCCTTTTATCTGCTTGTCCCAGACGCATTCTTGCATTGTATTTCTTACACGGCCTTTCATCAGCTTGTTCTAATTACAGGGGGACTCACACTCCATTCGAGGATACAGAGCCACATCTGCGAGGGAGTGGTATATGGACCTCCCCACTGGCGTCCGCCAGATTGTTGACGAGGCCGAATTCGGCTTATTCTGCATGGGGCTATCGCATCTCATAGCGAGCAGGCCCTCGCTTGGGGCGCTGGTAGAGAGGTGGTGGGACACCACCAACTCTTTCTACTTCTCTACTGCGGGAGACATGATGATGACGCTGTATAACTTTGCTATGCTTACCAGCATCGAGGTAGGGGGTCAGCCGATCCCATATGATACAGACATGAGCGAGTGAGAGGCCACCTGGATCTACCTGTTGGGGGCTCATCTGCGTATCTGCCGAGCAGGGATGGTGCGATACACCTTGTTTGCAGATCATTTCAGACGGACCAGGGACCCTAGAAGAGATCGAGCAGTAAGCCCGAGGCTTCTTAATGTTCTTCTTTGGCATCACTTTGTTCGCCGACAGGGCAAAGACTGTTGGGTTGTATCTCTTAAGCGCCTTGGTGGACTTGTCTCGGGTCCGACTTTATGACTGGGGCGGCGCTTGCCTCACTACCTTGTACGGCTACATGAGCTCGACATCCCACCGGAGCGGGAACAGAGTCGGTGGCTACTGGAGAGCTTGGGAGGTATGCTTTACTTTTCTGTTTTACATTTCCTGCCGTGCTTTCTGCTTTGCACTTTATGTACACTACACACACATAGTCTGATTTCTGCTTTGCACTTGTGCTTTCTATACATTGTACTATACACTCTACTTTCTGCATCCCCCCTATATTCTGCATTCTTCGTGCATTGTACACATATTCTTCTTTCTGCATTACCTGGGTTTATCTGTTGTATACTTACTATTGCCCTTTTGCTTCTTGTAGCTATGGGTATATGCATATTTTTCCACCCTCGCCACAGAGCTGGAGGTGGAGATGCCTCATGTTATACCTTATTCTCACCGGTACGACGATAGGTACATGAGGAGGACTAGGGAGACCTTCTTATTCTTCTGCCGGTATTTTGACATGGTGACAGCAGCGGAGGTAACTCAAAACTCACAGTCACTGCTACTTTAATTCAGCCCTGATTCATATTGCATATGTAATGGCAATTAACAATCTATGTATTTACTGTCTGCAGATCACATGGCAGCCCTGGGCGACGATGCCTGAGAATGTCAGATAGCAGTTTGCTGGCGCTTGGGGCGCTTCCCGTTACCGGCTTGTACTCGAGGGACCGGTAGGTCAAGCCTGGTTCTTAAGTGAGCGCTTCCTGCGCCAGACCTTGGGTTTGCCGTTGCAGGTGGTTTCCATGCTACCTCCGCCATCCATGCAGGCTACAGAGAGTCTCTCCTCCCAGGAGGTGGCTGACTTTACACGAGGCGTGGATGCTGACTACTTTCTTGGCGAGGGGGACTATGCGACATATATTCAGACGCATCTCATGCCTCCCTTGACAGGTACTCATGCTCATACAGGGAGAGCAGCAAATGCCCCTTTGATGAGCAGGGCTCAAGTGCCGAGGGGCAGGGCCAGAGGGGTACCCCCTACTAGACAGAGCTTTGGTTGGCCAGAGCTTCTGACTAAGTCGACAGGTTGGCAGTACACTGGAGAGGCTTACCGGATTCCGATTGAGCCTCCGGTGGCTGGTCACAAATATGTTAGAGCGCCTGATTCACCTCCGGTATGCACTACAACTTTCATTTTTTTTCCATTCTTGCTCAGATACTCAGATATTCATTCCTTCCGGACACTGATCATTCCAAATTGCATTTGTAGGAACCCGCAAGGTACATCAAGGGATTGCTCGAGATGTTGGCCTCATTTGAGGGCATGATCTTGAGGAGGGAGGCACTATTTGGCTTCCATGGTATTCAGGTAATTTCTTCGATTTTCTTGCATTTTGGTCATCACATTTCCACTAATACACTGAAACTGACATTTCAACTAAACACTTCCCCACACTGCACTGATACACTACATCTGACATACTACATTTTCATACTGTATTCATACTTTATACCTGATTTCTGTATGTACTCATTTTGCACACCATACTTACATCACGTATTGTGGTTGACATATACCAACTGTCTTTTCAGGTCCCACCTTTACCGATAGCACCGGTGACAGCAGTAGCAGGACCATCAGCACCTCCTCCACCAGTAGGGAGAGAGAGACAGGTTCCTGTATGTGGCCGAGGCTGGGCTAAGAGCGCCCAAGCTGAGAGTGGCCCTTCAGAGCCTATTCTGAGCGAGTATGACACTGAGACTAGCGAGACCGAGGAGGCTATGGGTTAGTACGCTGAGTCATCCGAGAGCAGAGATGATGATGCTGGCTCGAATTCTGCTAGTGGTGATGCTAATGCCGAGGAGGGCCTCGAGATAGAGGGCGACGACGACTCCAGTTCCAGTTCTGATTCAGCATCAGGTTCAGATTGTAGTGCCGACGGAGACAGCTCTGCAGAGTCCGCTCTGCCGAGGAAGAGGATGAAGAGGGCCTCTAAAGCTTGAGATAGCCAGAGCTGATTCATATGTTTTTGCTTGGTTTCTTTTTGCTAGTAGTGTTAGCATATTTGTACATCTTAGACAATTTTAATTTCTTTAAAACTTGTACTCTTTTGTAAAAAATGTAACCATGATCGGAATGAAAATAACTTTTGTACAAAAAAAAGTGTTGTATTTTGCATCCTGAGCACCGCACGAGCACCACATTGCATAAAACAAGATTGATGTAAATTGAACACTGTGCATTGTATTGGCATTTTCTTAATCTGGTGATGAACTGACCAACACTTAACAAACAGAGTAAAACAACTCGATGAACAACTAATAATAACAACTTGATAATCAAAACAATACAGATACAACTCCATAAGCAAAACAAATACAACTCGATAAGCAACACAAGACAACACAATGCACTAAGAGCTGAATGAAACACAGGTTCTCAGCATCCTCAACATACAGGTTGACCATAGGACAAACCAAGAGGCCATCAGCCATAAACAGAGGTTGTCGGCCACTAGTGGTGGCTGGTCAGCTACAAAAGGTGGCCGGTCGCCTATCAGCACTGGCCGATCGGCCATCAGTGCAAGGGACTTCCAGATTGTTGCCACATGTCTTCCAAATAGTGCCTTATCTTTTACAAAAGTTGGGACTTCGTAGTTTCTTCATTCTAGTTCTATTTTTGCCACAAATGGAGTCGTTCTTCACCGAAAAACTCTCAAATTGGATTGCAACTTTAGATGGCTTGGAAAAAGTGAATTTTCGGGATTTCGGGATAAATGCACTATTCTCGCTAAGTCGCACCCCGCTGTGTTTTCCGTTCCTTCACTTTGCAGCTAGGTGTTGGAACCCGGTTACACATGTTTTCAGCTTCAAGGGACAAGAGATATGCCCTACAATTGAAGAATTCCAAATTTTGATGGAATCTCTACGTGACGAGGAAATCCTGCCCCAGTCCCGTTTCAGTCATACCCAAGCTTTAGGAAGGATGTGTGGGCTCACTTTACATGAAGCTCAATCATTGATTCACAACGGAGAGTTGGACATTCCCAGCCTCATTCATCAATTTTCTGACACCAGTGACCGCGGCGACCGTCTTTGGGAGAGTTTTTAGCAGCATGCCCTTTGTTTATGTATGTTGGCTCATTTTCTACTTGCCCCAAGTTTCGGAGGGTCTAGCATTCACTTGGTCAAAGTAACTCAAGGCTTGAAAGAGGGTAAGAGCTGCATTGGCTTAGCATTGGCCGAGACTCTGATGGGCTTGGATGCCTTCCATTGGCGGGAGATGACCAAATTCGCAGGAAGTCTACTACTTTTGTAGGTAATGTTTCCCATCCTATCTGATATGTGTTTCTCACATCACTCGGCACTTATGCTCTGTTTTTCTCTTAAAAGCCTTTCTCACTTTTTCTCTTCACATACACCTCTCTATTCTTTAATCTCTCTTTTCTTTTAGTCCCTCCCCAGATATGGCTCATGGACAGGTTGAAGGTAGTGGACTCTTGCCCTGCATATTCAACATGAGGCTATTTCTTTCCCCAACGGCTAGTTGATTTCCCAAACGAAGGGTGGTTGTGCCATTGGATGTGCAATAGGTCTGCGATTGACATTGCCTGGCATTGGCCCTAGGTTGATCTGCCCAAGATAAGCTACAGCATGTCCCAGCAGCCTGGCATTCATCTGATTGGCCTGACACACTATGTATTCTATTTTTCGTTCCAGTTTAGGCGTCAGTTCGGACATGACCAAATTTGTCCAGAAGAGGGGGTAGAGTACCCGGTTTCATTTCCAATCTGAGGTTCACTACTAGCTCAATATCCCACTGCATGGAGGACAAAAGAACTTCTAGCTCCTGCTCCCAATTTCAACTGCGCCCTTTCTGGCGAATGTCTGGCTTGGCTTGAAGATGAGGCGCAAAATTGGGCCTACTTTAGCATCTGAAACTTCCACAAGCTCTGGGAGAGGACGCAGGAACACCTGATTTATCTATGCCTCCAAGTTTATTACTTTGATTTGTACTTTCAATTTTTCCTTTTGAATGTAATAAAAAGCGACTTTGATTTGCATCGAGAACTGGAGAACTTTGTATTGAAACCAATGAAATTGAAGTTGTGGGCACTGAAAATTTTTCTTTAGGTCCAAAAATGGTCTAAGTTGTAGAAAGATTAATGTGAACAAAATCAACTTTTATTAAAACTTTTCAAAACCATTTTCTATAAGGATCACAACTTGACACACATGGAATCTATTCTCGAGATGCACAACCCCGAATCCAGGAATGGAAAATTGCCCCTAGACTGAATAGCACTGCACTGTATTGTAACCAGCTCTCATAGTGAAGATCACAACTGAACTCTTGGATACAGAAAAGACAAAGATGACCTGAGCAATCTCATGGACAGGATAGTTGAGTTTGAAGTGTTTATGGCTGAACTTCAGAATAAAGTTGCCTACATATCCCGGAGATAGGAATCAAGCCTTACGTAGTTCAGTTCGAGTTCACTCGGGTATTAACACTCTCCTTTTACGCTTTAACATTTGCCAAGGCCGCCCTTTCTGAGTTTTCAACCTTGCGAGCTCTGTTTTTCTTATTTCAAATTTTTTGTGCTCTAACTTTTGCCTAGGTCGCCCTTCCAGGTTTTCGGCATAGCGAGCCTTTCGGGGGTAATATTTCTTCAACTTGTCCATGTTAATTGGTTGGGAGAATTCTAGGCCATCTAAGTCCATAAGAATGACAGCTCCACCAGACCAAATTGATTTGATGATGTAAAGACCAATCCAATTGGGCCTGAGCTTGCCTCTAGGGTCATGGATGGGAGCTCGGTTGTCTTTGAGTACTAAATCCCCTTCCTTCAAACTCCTAGACTTAACTTTCTTGTTGAAAGCCCTGGCAATTCTGCATTGATATCCTTGGACATGGTATAGTGCTTTCAGCCTCCTCTCGTCGAGCAACATCACTTCCTCGAACCTGCTCTGCTGCTAATCAGCTTCTGCTATCTGGCACTCGGCCATAACCCGTAGCGACAGAACCTCTATCTCAATCAGCAGAACAGCCTCTATTTCATAAACCAGAGAATACGTAGTTGTCCCAGTAGAGGTCTGAATTGAAGTCTTGTAGCGCTAGAGAGCGAATGCCAATTTGTCTGGCCAGTTCCTGTAAGTCTCAACCATTTTTTGCAAAATGTGCTTAATGTTCTTGTTGGCGGCCTCAACAGCTCCGTTGGTTTGCGGCTGATATGTGGATGACTTATGAAAAGCCACGTTGTATTTCTCCAACAAATCGATCACTTCTTTCTTGAAATGGGAGCCATTGTCTGAAATGATCTCGTTCGGGACCCCATAATGACAAATAATGTTATTCCTGATGAACTTGGCTACATGCGATGCCTTTAGCACTGCATAGGACTGGGCTTCCACCCACTTTGTAAAGTAGTCTATTGCCACGAAGATGTACTCATGCCCGTTCGACCCTTTCGGTGTAACTGCCTCAATAACATCAATTTCCCAGACTGAGAAAGGCCATAGTGAAGTCATGTTGTACAATTTCGATGACAGGATATTCATGCGATTGGCATGAATTTGGCATTTATGGCATCGCCGAACAAAACCAATACAATCCTCCTCCATGGTTGACCAATAGTAGCCCTGCCTGAGAATCTTCCGGGCTAGCATTACCCCGCTCATGTGCGCTCCACACTCTCCCCCATGGATGGCCTCCATTAGGCGATTCAACTCTTCTACATCAACACACAGGTTGTGCATTCCTAGATGACCCCATTTGTACAATTTACCCCCACAGATGATAAACTGAGCAGCCATTCGCCGTATTGCCCTTTTATCTTTGGCATTTGCCCCTAGTGGATAAGCCTCCTTTTCCAAGAAGTTCCAGACATCATAATACCAGGGGTTCTGATCTTGTACTTCATCTATTGCGGTGATCAACTCGTAAGCCGACGCATACCTCTGTTCAATAATGATTGGACACATCCGGACTCCTAACGGGATGTCTATCATAGAAGATAGAGTTGATAAGGCATCAACGAACCTGTTGTTCTCTCTTAACAGATACGTGAAGGTTAGCTTCTCAAACCTAGGAATCACAATATCCAGGGTCTGGTGATAGATTTTTATCCTTTCTTCCTTAACCTTCCAGTCTCATTTTTCTTGAGACAAAACTAGGTTTGAGTCCCTGATGACATCCAACCTTTTTGCCCCTAGTTCCAGCACGACTTTCAAACCAGTGATACACGCCTCGTATTCTGCCTCGTTGTTGAATACTTTGAACCGGAGTTTGAAGGCTAAAGGTATATGGGAATTTTCGGGTGCTATCAGCAACACCCCTATCCCATAATCATACTGATTAGACGCTCCGTCAAAATATTGTCCAAATCTCTTCCTCAACCTGCAGAATAGCTTCATCCGGGAATAGGTATTTTACGCTTCGTCCCCTTCCACTGGGTGATCTGCCAGGAACTCAGCTACCGTTCTCCCCTTAACAGACTTGTGAGTCATATACTTCAAATCAAATTCGAAGAAAAGAAGTAGCCAACAAGCTAGCCGACCCGTAAGTGATGGTTTCTCGAAGAGATATTTGATGGGATCCAATCTCGAAACCAGAATTACGGAGTGAGCCAATAGGTAGTGCCTCAACTTCCTAGTAGCCCATACCAAGGCTAAACAAGCCTTTTCCAGCAGGGTGTAAAGGGTCTCATATTCCAACATCTTCTTGCTCAGGTAATAGATGGCTTTCTCCACTCTATCCTCAGATTCCTGTGCAAGCATGCAGCCCATAGTCGTGTCGGTAACTGACAAGTACAGAATCAACGGCTTTCCCGGCTCTGGCGGTGACAACACTGGTGGGTTCTGAAGATATTGCTTGATTTGCTCAAAAGCAAACTAGCATCGGTCATCCCATTGGAATTTCTTTCCTTTTTTTAGGAGACCAAATAGTGGTTCACAAGTCAAGGTTAATTTTGCAATAAACTGTCTTATGAATTGCACTTTACCAAGAAAGCCTCGCACCTCATTTTCAGTCCTTGGTGGTGGCATTTCTAGTATGGCCTTGATTTGGAAGGATCAACCTCGATGCCCCTCTGTGTGATCAAAAAACCTAGCATTTTCCTTGCTGTGACACCAAAA